ACTTTAAACGATGAAAAACAAGGTAAACGCGTTCGCTCGATAAATAACGAGGTACCGCGGCCTCCGGAACGTCGCTGGGAACGGAGTTTTGGATTCTTGAAGTTGCATAAGTTCGGAAATATCAGAAATCCCCTGTATTTTTTGACCCTGACCCCGCCGATCTGCGTGAGGTGTGGCACGGAATACCAGAAATGTGTCAAATCCCCTGTGTTTTTGGACCCTGACACCGCCGATCTGCGTGAGGGGTGGCGCGGAATTCCAGCAATGTGTCAAATCCCCTGTGTTTTTGGACCCTGACCCCGCCGACCTGCGTGAGGGGTGGCGCGGAATTCCAGCAATGTGTCAAATCCCCTGTGTTTTCGGATCCTGACCCCGCCGACCTGCGTGAGGGGTGGCACCGAATTTCAGAAATGTGGCAAATCCCATGTGTTTTCGGACCTTGACTTCGCCCAGGAGGGCCCAGGAGGCTCCAGGAGAGCCCAGGAGAGCCCAGGAGGGCCCAGGAGAGCCCAGGAGGGCGCAGGAGGACCCAGGAGGCTCCAAGAGGCACCAGGGGGCCCAAGGAGGGCCCAGGAGAAGCTCCAGGAGGCTCCAGGAGAGCCCAGGAAGGCCCAAGAGGTCCAAGGAAGACCCAGGAGGGCCCAGGAGCCCTTACGAGGGATCGTGGCCCTGGGAGCGCTGACGTAGCGTAATTATAATTTGTTGAGGATGTGTCGAGCGAAACGCTGGCTTTGCAAAATTGGAGGATGTCTCGAGCGGGGGCCTCGTCGGTGGCCAGAATTCAGAGGATGTCTCAGGCGAAATGCTTGTTTTCACGTCCCGCTTGCAGGAATTCCGAGGATGTCTCGCGCGTGTTGCGTCCCGCGCGTGGGAATTTTGAGGATGTCTCCACTAATTCGTTTGTTTTGCTTGGATTTCCAGTGATTTTGACAGGATGTCTCGAGCGAACGCTTGTTTTTTTTCATAACTTGTTGAGGATGTCTCGAGCGAAACGCTGGTTTTGCAAACTTGGGGGATGTCTCGAGCGTGGGCCTCGTGGGGTCCAGAATTCAGAGGATGTCTCAGGCGAAATGCTTGTTTTCACGTCCCGCTCGCAGGGATTCCGAGGATGTCTCGCGCGTGCCGCGTCCCGCGCGTAGGAATTCTGATGATTTTGGCAGGATGTCTCGAGCGAAACGCTTGTCCCCAGCACGTTCCGTAGCGCGTCCCCTTGGCACGTCCCGCGGTGCGTTCCCATGGCACGTCCCTTGGCACGTCGCTTGGCGCGTCCCTTGAGACGTTCCGCGTCGCGTCCTCCTGGCATGTCCCGTTGTCCATTAGCTCTGGGGCAGCTACTATGTGTTCAGGCAGCTCGAGCTTAAGATCCAGATCAGTTCGGTCAGGACTCGGATGCAAAGGAGGACTCGATCCACGAGGCTATAGAGCACAATCGCGGCATGGCACATCGCAATTCAGCACGGCGCAGCACAGCACAGATTTCGGCACGGTACATCAAGATCGATACACTCAGCATTGCAACTTGGCACGTTCCTTGGCACGTTCCGTGGGGCGTCCCTTGGCGAGTCCCCCTGACACGTCGCGTGGCGCGTCCCCTGGCACATCCCGTGGCACATCCATTGGCACGTTCCGTAGCGCGTCCCCTTGGCACGTCCCGCGGTGCGACCCCATGGCACGTCCCCTGGCACGTCGCCTGGCGCATCCCTTGGGACGTTTCGCGGCGCGTCCTCCTGGCATGTCCCGTTGTCCATTAGCTCTGGGGCAGCTACTATGTGTTCAGGCAGCTCGAGCTTAAGATCCAGATCAGTTCGGTCAGGACTCGGATGCAAAGGAGGACTCGATCCACGAGGCTATAGAGCACAATCGCGCCATGGCACATCGCAATTCAGCACGGCGCAGCACAGCACAGCCCTCGGCAGGGTACATCAAGATCGATACCCTTCAGCATTGCATTTGCCCGTCACCCAATCTGGTGTCTTTGAAAACGCTGACATGTGTTACAGTTCTATATTCCTTTCCGGGTTCTTGGGTCGATCATGTTGACTATTCTTGAATATTCCTCCTGTAGAGGGACAGGCCCGACTTAAGACTAGGGCGTCTGCGATCAGCTGCTGGTTACCGCCGCGGCCGACCCGGCCCTCGCCAGGTCGGACCGCGGTGGGAGGTTCCCCACTCCCTTCCCATGATCGCCACCCCCTCCCTCCGCCACAAGAGATAGGGTGACGTGAGGTTAGTGAGGTGAATCTAGGGGAACAAAATGTGACATAAACATAAAAACTCGGAGGTCCGCGCGGATTTCTCGGAACGGCGCTGGACCCCCCTCCCTGGCGCGCGGAGCGCGCCAGGGGCGGCGCCGGAGGCGCCGCCGGGGGACCCTAGCGCCGATCCGAGAAATCCGCGCGGACCTCCGAGTTTTTATGTTTATGCCATTTGTTGTTCCCCTAGAATCGGGGGGAGAGGGGCTACGAGAAGGAGAGGGAGTGACGGTTGGTGGCTGGTGGAGCCTCTATTTCAGCAGTCACGTCGGATGAAACAGAATAGCTTGTGGGCGAGAAAGCCCCGCAACGACCCACTGCGTAGCATAGCTGATGTGCGCGTAGTCGCCGTGTGCTGTGGCCTACGGGCGCCCAGTTTCCGCTGCTGTCGGAGAGCTGAGTCTGGAGTGTGACTATCCATTTGTGCTGCTGCCGATCTTGTCGGTGAGTGCGTACGGTTGTTAGGCAAGAGGATCGTGCCGAGGTGTGGTGTAGGAAAGTTGCAGCTGGTGCGATGTCTCCCGTCTGTCATGGAGCAACATTGGGCAACACTGTGCGCGGTGAGGTGCGGGAGGTGGGCGCCCTGATGGGCCGCTGTGAGGCCGGTCCCCTCAAGAGGCGTAGGCATCGTGTTTGTGGGCGAGCAGGGGGGAGTCTCCTGATCTGCCGTAGTTTGGTCGTACTGGCTGGTGGTCCTTCGTGTACTGTTGGAGTTCGGCTTCGAGCGGTGGCCAGGGCTCCGAGCCGCCGTCGGCTGTGGTCCCATCGTCTGTGTTGTAGCTGTGGACCTTGTCGTCGTGCCCTTCCACCGTTGGCCTGGTCGTGGTCGCGTCGGGGGCCGTGCGTGATGGCTGTCGACAGGGGGCGTATCTGCGCCCTGGTGGTTGGCATACGTCGGGCTCTGTCATGTAGTAGTACGTCTGTCTTTCATCTGCAATATTCGCTGCCTCCCTCAGCTGCTGCTCCAGGTTGTCGCGGTCGTTTTGTTGTTATCGATGGGTTTTTTACGTGTGTCTTGGAGCTCTTTTTTTCAGTTGCTCAGTCGAAGGTGTACGATGACGGTGGTTTTTGACCTTCGTGTTCCGCACGGCCTCCTCCAGCTCCACCTCGATCCTCTCGAGAGCCGCCTCCTTTCGCATCTGCATGTGCTGGTGATGTGTTGCCAGATTCTCGGTCGTCTGCTTGGCACTGTGGATCTCGCTCAAGAGCTCGTTGTGGTACCCCTGCGCCCTGATTGCCTCTATGTGTCGAACGCGTTCATTCTCTTCAGCATTCCGGAGTTGGTTTTGAGGTTTTGGATCTCGTTGTTGGCCTCGGTCCTGTTCTTCTTGATGTTGTGAGCCATGCGCAGGTTTTCCTACTTGAGGTTCCTGAGCAAGGTGCCGACGTCTTGTCCTTCTAGAGTTTCCCAAGCCCCTATTTGTCTCCTTGGCGCTGGGGTGGGCATTTTTTGTTGTAGTTCAAGTTGTGGTTTATCAGCCTCTTCGTCGGCAGCCTCGTTGTCGCTGTAGCGGTCGTCCCTGGCGTTGCTGATGTCCCGCTGGGGAATTGTGAGCTACTCTATCTTGTACTCGAGCTCGTTAATATAGACCTGTATCTGTTCTAGATGGGTCCTGGTGTCTTGTGATAGTAGTCTTCCATGGTCTGTTTCGTAGTGTCGATCTCCCTAGCCTGTTATGCCAGGGTCATGCTGATGAGGAGCATGGCCCTGGTGAAGGCAATCTGTGCCACTGCATCTGTTGTATGCACTCCTGCTACGCTGTTTTGGCGATGGCGGTTGCGGATCGCCTCATATCGATATGTTTGATTTTTTTCCAGTCGTCCTTCAGCTTGGGGTCGTTGGGTGTCAGCTCCCAGTCTTGCCTTCTTGTAGCGTAGATCTTCCACATCGGCATCGCGTTGTTGATAGTGTTGGTGACGCGGTCATTGTAGCTCTTGTGTCCTCCTTATTTTGTTGCTATTCACCATCCGGTTGTTGTTTTGTCTTGCACTTGCTTTTCTTGAGCGTCTCTTGGGCTCGTGGTCGTCCTGTGCGGTCTTTCCTCCTCCTCCTCCTCCTCCTCCTCCTCCTCCTCCTCCCCCTCCTCCTCCCCATCCTCTCCCTACATACTTCATCCTTCCCAACTTCCTCACCTCCTCCTCTCCATCTTTCCCTTCACCCTCCCCTCTTCCCTCCTCATCCTCCCCCGCTTCCCCCTTCTCTCACTCCTCTCGCTACCCTGTCTCCGCGAGCTAGGGACGAGCCCAGGTCCCAGCTGCTCCGACTTTCCTTTGTGTGTCGGCTGGTTCCGCCTCGCGGCCCAGCTGGGATGACGTCTGGCAGGTGTCCAAGGAGGATACTTGCAGGACTTGCACCGTGAAGAGGATGAGGATGCGAAGGAGCAGGAGGAGGAGGAAGAGGAGGAGGAGGAGGCGGAGGAGGAGGCGGAGGAGGAAGAGGAGGAGGAGGAGGGAACTTCTGGTCCGACCACCGTTCCGATCTTTCCCCCCTGCCGCCCCCCCCCCGCAGACGAATTGTGGATACGCCGTCCCGCCCTTCGATGCCAAGTCGGAGTGAGCATGCGCCTAGTCATGCCAGGAGTCGAAGAAAGGGCGATCCCCGCGATGGTCGGGAGTGTCTGTTTGTTTTGGCGGAGATCGGGGCAGAGGCACGTGACCTTGGAGGCGCCGCCGAGCAGAGCGTGACAGTGGCCAGGCCGTCGCTTTGCCTGCTTTCTGCTTGTGCTTTCCAGATCCTTGCCGAACCGCAGGCCATGGAGCAGCAGACGATCACGCTGTCGAAGGCCAGGCGCAGGAGGGCGACACAGGATGGAGGAGGACGGCGGAGGAGGAGGAGGAGGAGGAGGAGGAGGAGGAGGAGGAGGAGGAGGATGCGGATGATGAGAACGAGATCAAGGAAGATGAAGAGGAGGATTCAGAGCAGGAGGATGACGCGGAGGAGGAGGAGGAGAAGCAGGAGGAGGAGGAGGAGGAGAAGGATGTCGCCACCGCCCTCGGCTAAGGTTAGTCGAACGTTGAACAGAAGAAGGATGCGGAGGAGGATGGAAGAGGGGAGGATATTCAGGAGGCCGGCACGGCAGACTGGCACATCAGACCAACCGTCTTCTTTCAAAGTTGTCGACGAGACGTTCCATCAGGCTTCATAGACACAACGACGCTTCCCGTTCTTGTCCGGTCATGCTTCGGGAAAATGGCTGTTTCGCTTGAGGAATCGTCGACAAATCGGTTCCGGAGAGGACTCCGAACCAGCACAATCTTGGAGTTGCTCCAGGAGAGCTTCCAAACGACCCAAGAGAGCTCCCCAGGAGAACCCAAAAGCGTCGCGGGGGGCCCGCAAGGGGCACCCGGAGGCCCCCAGGAGCGCCCGAAGAGGCCACGGGACTGTCCAAGAGGGCCCCTAGACGGCCCAAGACAGCCCGAGATGGCGCCAAGAACCCCGGCAGAACCGTGTATCGCATGCCCAGACAGCCCAAGAAGTCCCCAGAAGCCCGCAAGAGGACCCCGACATGCCCGCAAGAGGACCCCAGGATGCCCCAATATAGCCCCAGACGGCCCCAACAGCTCCCAGGGTAGCCCCAAAATTACAAGAACCTCTCTCCTCTTCGACGTCCTTTTCGTCGGGCTCCTTACCGTCCGACTTCGTCGTCGTCGTCGTCGTTTTTCTTCTCCTCCTCCTCCTCCGCTTCGTTCCTCCTCGTGCTCGTCCTCATCCATCTCTTCTTCCTCGTCCTCGTCCTTGTCTTCCTACTCGTTGTCCTTCTGCTACGCTCGCTGCCCTCCCCGTCATCCACGCTGCCATCTTCGACATCCGCCGCCTTGTCGTCGCCATCATACTTGTCTTTCTTCCCCTGCGAACCCAATTAACAACATCGGTGCTTCCCGTTCTTGTCCGATGAGGTTTTACTGGTGATCAAACTAATCACACTCAGTTGAATGGCACCCTGCACGTCTTACGAAACCAGTTGGCGCGTAGCGGGTGGCCTCTTGGGACGGCAGAGTACTTTTTTGATTGCCCAACGCCACACCCAGGGCCGACATCAACCCAGAACCTGTTTCTCAGACCCTCCCTGGAGTCCATCTTGGCCAGTTTCCCGAACCGTGCAAACTCAAACAAAACATCGTTTTGTTTGAGTTTGCACGGTTTGTGCCTCGGGGGAATATGTCTGCGCTCAGGGTGGCCCGCCGCGGCTGGGTCGCCTCGCGGGTCCGCGCAGGCGGGCATCCAGGCCACGCTCAACGCCCGTACGTCGATCCTCGCCTCGTGCCTGCCCAAGGCCGTGTACTATCAGGAGCCTTTGCGAGGAGCAGGAGGAGGAAGAGGAGGAGGAGGAGGAGGAGGAGTAGGAGGAGGAGGAGGGCGAGGAGGAGGAGGAGGAGGAGGAGTAGGAGGATAATCATAAAGAAGGAAAATAATCAGGCGGGCAATGATGATATATACTGGTACTGATGATGCTGCTGATGATGATGATGATGATGATGATGATGATGATGATGATGATGATGATGATGATGATTATGCAGGTGATGATGATAATGGTGATGGTGATGGTGATGATGATGGTGATGATGGTGATGATGGTGATGATGGTGATGATGGTCATGGTGATTGTCGTGGTGATGGTAATGGTGATGGTGATGGTGATGGTGATGGTGATGATGATAATGATGATGGTGATCATGCTGTTGATGATGGCGATACTGATGATCACGATGATGATGCTAATGATGATGGGGCAGGCGATGTCTGGGACATATATTTTGATCCATGTACACCAGAGGTGGAGGCGACTGGTTGCATCGTGACGTGCGGGTTTTTGTTCAGGGGGGATGATGTGGTAGGCCCAGTTGCAATCGGAAGATTACGCCCCGCGGGCAAATAACCAGGTTTGGACGGTGGGCCCTCGCTCATCCACCGAGCACTCCAGGAGATAAATGGTCAGGGACCGATCCTGGAAAACGCGTTCTCTGAGCCACTCAACTACATTATTTTCAAGCAAGGAGTCGTTGCCGTTGCCACTGAATCAATGGCATGTCCTCAAGAAGCACACCAATTGTGACATTGGGAGAAATGAAGGCCATGGCAGGACACAGATGAGGAGAGTAATGCGTGGAACGATGACCGGTGCATGGGGCGCGAGGAGTATTACCGCGTGTTGGAGAGGGCGCGTGGACGCAGCGGACGAATCAATGGAGGGGTAAGCAGGTCAGGTCAAGCTCAGCTCACCCACGCCGTGGCTTTTGAATAAAGTTTGGTGACATTTGACACACATCCACCCCTTACTCTTCCCTGCGACCTGTTTTGCGTGTGGCCAGTGAGTAACATCTAGGGCAGCTGTGACAAATAACAACAGCGGAGATCCCGCCGTGATCTAAGCCACCTTTTGCGCTGCCATGTCGCACATATTCCGGCGCTGGGCCTCTGTTGCAGTTTACAGTTTTTCCCGGAAAGGGCATAGGCCCAGGGTTCTTTTTTGCCGGAAAGGGCGTAGGCCCAGGGTTCTCTTTTAGCTGTTTACCCCCGGACCTGACTTGAGGTGGGCCGGCGGAACGGCGGAATTATTTTTGAGGATGTCCCTAGCGAAACGCTTGTTTTTCAGAATTTGTTGAGGATGTCTCGAGCGAAACGCTGGTTTTGCAGAGTTGGGGATGTCTCGAGCGAAACGCTTGTTTTCAGAATCTGTTGAGGACGTCTCGAGCGAAACGCTGGTTTTGCAGAGCCGACCGCGACGCGGAAAAGCGCCCCGCGCGCAGGAATTCCGATGATGTTTCGCGCGTGCCGCGTCCCGCGCGCAGGAATTTCGAGGATGTCTCGACTAATTCGTTTGTTTTGCCAGGATTTCCTTGAATTTTGGCAGGATGTCTCGAGCGAAATGCTTGTCTTTCATATTTTGTTGAAGAAGTTTCGAGCGAAATGCTGGTTTTGCAAAATCGGGGGATGTCTCGAGCGGGGGCCTCGTGGGGGGCCAGAATTCGGAGGATGTCTCAGGCGAAATGCTTGTTTTCACGTCCCGCTCGCAAGAATTCCGAGGATGTCTCGCGCGTGCCGCGTCCCGCGCGCAGGAATTCTGAGGATGTTGGCAGGATGTCTCGAGCGAAACGCTTGTCCCCAGCACGTTCCGTAGCGCGTCCCCTTGGCACGTCCCGCGGTGCGTCCCCATGGCACGTCCCTTGGCACGTCGCTTGGCGGGTCCCTTGAGACGTTCCGCGTCGCGTCCTCCTGGCATGTCCCCTTGTCAATTAGCTCTGGGGCAGCTACTATGTGTTCAGGCAGCTCGAGCTTAAGATCCAGATCAGTTCGGTCAGGACTGGGATGCAAAGGAGGACTCGATCCACGAGGCTACAGAGCACAATCGCAGCATGGCATATCGCAATTCAGCACGGCGCAGCACAGCACAGATTTCGGCACGGTACATCAAGATCGATACACTCAACATTGCAACTTGGCACGTTCCTTGGCACGTTCCGTGGGGCGTCCCTTGGCGAGTCCCCCTGGCACGTCGCGTGGCGCGTCCCCTGGCACATCCCATGGCACATCCATTGGCACGTTCCGTAGCGCGTCCCCTTGGCACGTCCCGCCGTGCGTGCCCATGGCACGTCCCCTGGCACGTCGCCTGGCGCGTCCCCTGGGACGTTCCGCGGCGCGTCCTCCTGGCATGTCCCCCTGTCGATTAGTTCTGGGGCAGTTACCATCTGCTCAGGCAGCTCGAGCTTAGGATCCAGATCAGTTCGGTCAGGACTCGGATGCCAGGGAGGACTCGATCCACAACGCTATATAGAGCACAATCGCGGCATGGCACATCGCAGTTCTACACGCCCAAGCACGGCACAGCCGTCGGCCCGGTACATCAAGATCGATACACTCAACATTGCACCTTGGCACGTTCCTTGGCGCGTTTCGTGGCGAGTCCACCTGGCACGTCCCGCGGCGCGTCCCCTGGCACGTCCTGCGGCACGTCCATTGGCACGTTCCGTAACGCGTCCCCTCGGCACGTCCCGCGGTGCGTCCCCATGGCACGTCCCCTGGCACGTCGCCTGGCGCGTCCCCTGGGACGTTCCGCGGCGCGTCCTCCTGGCATGTCCCCTCTGTCGATTAGTTCTGGGGCAGCTACCATCTGCTCAGGCAGCTCGAGCTTAAGATCCAGATCAGTTCGGTCAGGACTCGGATGCCAGGGAGGACTCGATCCACAACGTTATGTATAGAGCACAATCGCGGCATGGCACATCGCAGTTCAGCACGGTGTAGCACAGCAGAGCCCTCGGCACAGTACATCAATATCGATACATTCAGCATTGCATTTGCCCGTCGCCCAGTCAGGTGTCGTTGAAGCGTTGCCATGACTTACACTTCTATATTCCTTTCTTGGTTCGTGGGTCGATCATGTTAGTTTTGTTACCCCAGGTGTCGACTCGAAGGAGGCCGGAGTACTTATTTTGCGATAAATGACGAGTTTGAAGGAGGCCGGCGGAATTTTTTTTTGAGGATGTCTCGAGCGAAACGCTTGTTTTTCAGAATTTGTTGAGGATGTCTCGAGCGATACGGTGGTTTTGCAGAGTTGGGGGATGTCTCGAGCAAAACGCTTGGTTTTCAGAATGTGTTGAGGATGTCTCGAGCGAAACGCTGATTTTGCAGAGTTGGGGTATCTAACCTGGCGTCGGGCCCAATGCCGAATTATGAGGAAACGCACGGGGGGCCGAAAAGCGCTACCCGAACACATGTCCCAATACAGACAAATCATGGTTTCTTGCTCTGAACAGGGGGTTGCGCTTTGGGGGCCTCTCCAGGGGAGACGTTGCGAGGATGTCTCGAGCGGGAGCGCGAATTCAGCGTATCCAGGTCACGCAGGGGGGTATCTAACATGGCTGTCCCGAGCTGGAACCACGTGTTTTTTCATGCTCAGGCCACCCAGGGAGATCTCTAACATGATTGTCCCGAGCTGGAACCACGTGTTTTTACGTATCCAGGCCACCCAGGGGGTATCTAACATGGTCGTCAGGAGCTGGCACCGTGTTTTTACGTGTCCAGGCCACCAACACGACGCTTGTCCCCAGCACGTTCTGTAGCGCGTTCCCTTGGCACTTGCCGCGGTGCGTCCCCGTGACACGTCCCCTGGCAGGTCGCCTGGCGCGTCCCTTGGAGCCGCGTCTTCCTGGCATGTTTCCTTGTCAATTAGCTCTGGGGCAGCTGCTATGTGGACTATGTGCTCAGGCAGCTCGAGCTTAAGATCCAGATCAGTTCGGTCAGGACTCGGATGCACAGGAGGACTCGATCCACGAGGCTATAGAGCACAATCGCGGCATGGCACATCGCAGTTCAGCACGGCGCAGCACAGCACAGCCCTCGGCACGGTACATCAAGATCGGTACACTCACTCAGCATTGCAACTTAGCACGTTCCTTGGCACGTTCCGTGGCGCGTCCTGTGGCGAGCCCCCCTGGAACGGCACGTCCCGCGGCACGTCCCCTGGAACGTCCCGCGGCACGTCCATTGGCACGTTCCGTAGCGCGTCCCCTCGGCACGTCCCGCGGTGCGTCCCCATGGCACGTCCCCCTGCATGTCGCCTGGCGCGTCCCTTGGAACTTTCCGCAGCGCGTCTTCCTAGCATGCCCCCCTGTGAATTAGCTCTTGGGCAGCTACTACGTGCTAAGGCAGCTCGAGCTTGAGATCCAGATCAGTTCGGTTAGGACTCGGATGCAAAGGGGGACTCGATCCACAACGCTATAGAACGCAATCGCCACGTGGCACATCGCAGTTCAGCACGGTGCAGCACAGCACTGCCTTCGGCACGGTACATCAAGACCGATACCCATTTTGGCACGTTTTTTGGCACGTTCCGGGCGCGTCCCGTGGCGAGTCTCCCTGGCACGTCGCGCGGCGCGTCCCCTGGCACGTCCCGTGGCGCGTCCATTGGCACGTTCCGTAGCGCGTCCCCTCGGCACGTCCCGCGGTGCGTCCCCGTGGCACGTCCCTTGGAACCTCGCCTGGCGCGTCCCTTGGGACGTTCTGCGGCGCGTCCTCCTGGCATGTTCCCCTGTCGATTAGCTCTGGGGCAGCTACTATGTGCTAGGGCAGCTCGAGCTTAAGATCCAGATCAGTTCGGTCAGGACTCGGATGCACAGGAGGACTCGATCCACGAGGCTATAGAGCACAATCGCGGCATGGCACATCGCAATTCAGCACAGCACCGCACAGCACAGCCCTCGGCACGGTACATCAATATCGATACACTCAGCATTGCATTTGCCCGTCGCCCAATCAGGTGTCTTTGAAACGTTGCCATGTCTTACATTT